GAAATGAGGATTAGGAGTGGCGACGCTTCCCCCATATCAATTTCGGTCACCAAGTGGTCTCTAGGGTTATGGTTCTCTAGGCACAGTTCTCCACACGTACCTTGGAATCATTTCCTTATTATCGCAAAACTCATTTAAATTTTATCTAAATTTTTTATTTTGCTTTTTTTTTAATTCAATGTTGTTGTTTACCGTGAATTTACAGCTCGATTTGGCCAGCTCCGGCATAAAGTCTAACTTCTGGGTTAGACTATCTGCCTCTTCAATTGTAGATTTCCTTTTTTTTTTAAAAAAGGTGTTGAGCATGAGAATTGATTTAGCGCTGAATTCCTCTGGGTGATGCCTATTAGACTCGCGTGATCGCAAAATAATACTCTAAGCTTAGTTAAAGTAAGAACAGTTCAGGTAGAATTCGCAAAAATGAAAGTAATAAACGTCACCGAAAATAATGACTAAATAGAATAAGCTACCAAGTACGGTAAAGAAAGAAATGAATTATGTTGGCTTTTGTAGAGTGGAACTCTAACAATTGTATAGCAGTAACTAATGTGACGCTCTGACAATCTTTAGAATTGTGTAGAGAGCTCAATGTGTGAGCAAGGGTTAATTGTTCGCGATTCATAGTAAAGGATTAATATATATTTGGACTTTCAGATTCTGGTTTGCTTGAGTGGTGGATATCTTAAAGACAGAAGCAAAGGAAATAGTGTAGGCGTCAGACATAGGACATTCTTTTCTCCGCTTGTTAAGTTCACTTTTCCTTTAACATGTGAGGAAAAAGCCCGTTATACTAATAGACCCTATTGACGTTTGTTGGTTTTGGTATTTTTGTTTTTTACTTGTTGTTACTGTTTTTATTTAGCAGTTCTCTGTGTTCTTCTCTGATTTTTTGATTTTAACAGCTCTTAATTATTTTCTTCTCACTGTAAGGTTATGGTCCTTGAATTTATCAATAGGCATATGTTAAACTGTAATATGTTCTCTCCGTCTTGTGTCTGTTGGTCTTGTGTTTTGTTAAACCTGTTTTCTAACTATCTCGTTAACCAATAGTGTGATAGACGCTTTCTCTCTTTAAAACCACCTCTTTTTTCTCGGCCCTTTAGGCACACCTCATGGTTGGGCGTTTGATTCTTTAAATCCTGTGTGGATTTCCGTTGTCTTAAAACAGTTTGTGGCATTATTTCTATGATCTCTGTTGCGGCCGCCAAGTGCTTTCTCATAATTCTTAATATGGGTGCAACTTAATTTATTACTCTTAGTGATATAAATTATTCTAGGTTTTTTGATTTTATTGGTTCTTTAATTTATTTTACTTATTATTATACTAATTCTATTTTAATTTCCTAATTTATTTATTGCTTTTTATTTATTTACTTTATTTTATTTATTTGTCGAAAATCTCATAGTTTATTTGTTTTTATTAATGTTATTCTATTTGGTATTTACTTTTTTTTCTATACTTATCATGATAAATGTATTTTCGCCATTTTCCAATATAACGTTATATATGGCTTTTATTTGTAGCCACCTGTGGTTTTTAACTCAACCTTTAGTTTACTTGCCCTGTGCCTTTGTTGTTCATAATGTCTTTCTTGGGAAATATATAGCTCGTTAATGAATTTCTGTGTCACACGCTCTTCATCTTAGAACCTTGTGTCTTGTTACGGGTTTTGTTTCTAATGGATTTTTATGATTATCATAACCTGGAAAATTTCATCTTTTATGGGGAGTGCTGGAAAATGGCATAATTGTATTAGGGGAGTGGGACAGGAAGGGGCCAAAACTGAGGGAGGAAAGGGATACAAGGGGTAGCATAATATTTTAAGCCTATGTTATTTCATTTTTATGGATCTCCTTAAGTGTCTGGAAGTCTCTGGGCAGTTTTGGTTGTTCCATGGAATATTCATTAAACTCAGGTCCTGTCCAAGTGGGCAGGGATTGTATCATTGGGAGCTTATATTATTATAATATTAATATACATTATATTATATTACATGCATTATTTTTTATCTTTGCGGGAGTGCCTTTTTATTTATTTTACTTATTTTATTCCCTATTTTATTTTCCTGTAACTTTCCATATTTGCCTCCTTCTTAAGTCTGACGTTCTCTATTTCTTATAATATACTAATACATATCAGCAATTTTATTCATAGTTTTATTTCTATTTGTAGGTATTATGCTATTTTAATGTGCATTTATACTCTCTCTATGATCTTTACTTGTACATAGATTATGTTGTATTTTCTTTGTATATCTCTGCTTATCTCAATTTCCCTTCATTTTTTAAAATATTGTTTTTGGATTTTCTAAATCTAAAGACATATATAATTTCAATTAATTACTTTTCATAATATATTGCATAATCTCTCCTCATCGGTTTTTGCTTTACATATTATTTAACTAAAATGTAGTGTGTACTGTCACTTTACTGCTCGGCTAGTGCTTACTAATTAGGTATCGGTTAATCACTCTCTGATTTCTGTTCGTTCGCTGGTTCCGCTCTCGTCTGTTGATATGTAGCCGGATATTAACACACTAGGTTAGTCAGTCGATGTATACGAAGTGAGGTACACAGTAAGATAAAAGCCAATAAATAAATAGAAATAATAGAATAAAATAAGTGAGAAATAATAAATAACCAAGCATAAAATAATGCTAAGACAAGGTAAAGCAAGAAATCTAGAATGATCTCGTCAAATAAATAAAAGAGTGCATATCTTAAGAACATATAATAAATAGAATAAATAGGCATCTCTAAATCAAAATAAATAAAGCTATATTTAACATAAAGACAGTAGAAAATTGGTAAATAGAATACAAGGGTGAGTAAAGGTTGCAATAAAGCACTGCCCGCACAAATAAAAATATGCAAGGTGTAATACTATGTAATTATTAGATATGAATTAAATAATGTGGAGAGCTATAGTAATACTAGTGCGGTTCATTGCGGGTATATAATTATTTAAATATATATAATATAATATTTATATAATAGTTATTTTATATAATATGTATGTAACTAACCCTAAACAAAACAAGGGTTTCCAAGTGCTGCACAAAAAGATGTACAGAATAAATAGATACACAATAGAAGCACGCCAGTAACAAGGGTGAGGTACACGTAAAGATAAAAAGCAATAAAATAAAATAGAAATAAAATGAATAAAATAAGTTAATAATAAAGCAATAAAAAATAAATAGAAATATAGAATAAAATAAGTAAAATAATAAAAAGCAATTAAAATAAAATGAAATAACTAGAATAAAATAGTAAATAAATAATTCATAAAAAAATAGAAATAAATAGAATAAAATAAGTAAAATAAATAAAAAGACTGGCCCGCACAAGATTACAAAATATGCTGTATCACATAAATCAAGTTACAGTGTCAAGGCCGAGGAAGAAAGAGGTGGGTTTTAAGAAAGTTTAAAATGGATGACGGAGAGGTTAAAAACAGGGGTTTCCAAAAGAGCCTGACAGACACAGCCAGAATACAAGTTACAAGGGTACAAAGGACGATAAATAAAGTGCATGAAATAAGAGAATAGAAAATGTAATCAATAAAATCAGTGGAACAGAACTCAAAGACGGTTAAAGTAAATAAACGTCACGTAAAGGTCTATAAAAAAACGGGTTTTAAGAAAAAAAAAAAACAAAATGTGAATTAAAAGAATTTAGTTTTTTAGTCTGACATACAACTTTTTTTTTTTGTTTAGATCACCAATTAAGTGGATAATTTAATAATTTAATTTTAATTAACTGCTAATTTCTGTTACATGCTCATTTATCATGTTTTATATATTTGATCTTTATCGGTATTCGGTGGTATTTGATCTCTATAACTTCTCTACTTTTTCTTATCTGATATTTTTCCGTTGAAGTTTTATCTTTTTTGATTCTTTAGTCTCTCTTTCTTTATCTAGGCATCAGAGTTTATTGTTTTTTTATACTGTTTTTTGTACTGTATTGTTTTTATACCTCTTTATTTTTCTACACTGTGTTTTGTCATCCCAAAAGGATCAATGAAGAGAAGTCTAAGATAGACTTTATTGATCCCAGGCTGGGAAATTGCGGTGTAACAACACAATGAATTAAAGAGTAAAAAGCAACATAAAAAATGTAGAAATAAATGAGTGCGAAGTGAAAAATATAAGGTGCAGTGAACAGATGGTGTAAAAACTTTGATACCGTCCGTCAGCTGGCTCTCCAACTCCTGAGTTTTATGGTTTTGTGATTTTATGGTTCAGTTAAAATGTAATTTAACCGACAACCCCACCTTCACATGACACAAAGCCCTTGAGAAATGTTCAATTGTGCTGCGTCTTTATGGCCAGTCAGGTTATTTAGTGTATTCATGTGCAAAAGACGGCAGACGAGGGCTGCGTCGAATGTTTTTAAGATGTTTTTTTACTGTTAAATAGAACAATATGCCCATTAGAGTTTCTCCAACCTCTTAATAAATCAGTTCAGACCCTAAAGATGTTCAGTTTACGATTAATATCAGTTTATTAGTTCAAAGGATTCAGGACAGAGGTCTGCATGTGTCTGTAAAGTTTTCTTCTACAGTGACAAACAGACATACCGCGGTGGCTTTTAAGTATCTGCGTTCTGTTTTAAGTGTCTAGTCGTACGGAGACGTTAGCTTTAATCTGTCCAGATTTTAAGATGTCAGCCGCTGGGACTCTGCCAACCCAGAACAATGGGGTTGAATGGAGTTTTGTGTTTGATTCCCAAAAGCATTAAAAGTGACGTGAAAACAATGCAGTGTGTGTTTCCCAGAGAAATGTCTTGTTGTGTTACAGTCTGAGTTGGGAACTTGAGTTTGCTTTGACCAGTGCTGCTATTATTAATGACATACACGTTATTATAGATGTATTCACATTAACACTGCAGTACTCACGCTGAGTAATGGAGCTCCTCCACATTTAAACTGTGTGCTTTTTTATATTTTTCACAAATAAATAAAAAAATAATAAAGTAAATGTGCTGTACAGTCTGTGTAACATATTATATATATATAGCTGGCGCTTCATTTGAGTCGGTTTCAAGTTTCGTATGTGGTGCTTACCCCTGTCTGTCTGTCTGTCTGTCTGTCCTGCAGGGCTTTGTCAAAGACATCCACGATGACTCTCTCTCCATTGCCTTTGAGAACAAGTGAGTTTCTCTCTCTTTCTCCCGTGTTCCAGCTGCTTTACGAATCATACAAAGTTCAGAATTTGAAGAGCGGTGTGGTGTAACTGTGTTAAAAGGAGGTGAGAAATGACCATGTCTTATGTTTTCAGTTGGCAGCCAGAACGCCAGGTGCCGTTCAACGATGTCAGGATGCCACCGCCCGCTGACGGCAAGAAGGAGATTGGAGAGGGCGAGGAGGTGGAGGTGAGGAGGACTGTAATTACTTTCTTCGTTTATCCCATTGGGGAAATGTATCTTTTCACTCTGATTAGTAATTAAGACACACATATAGACTTCTTTTCTCTCCTGGTTTCTGCGTCTCACTCTGTCCTGGTCTGAATCTCTCATCAGATCTTGTCCCGAGCCAACGATCAGGAGCCTTGTGGTTGGTGGCTGGCTAAAGTCCGCATGATGAAGGGAGATGTGAGTCTTGTTCCTTTTTTTGAAGACAAATTTCTTTACTATACTCTGAATATTTACATGAAAATAAATGCTAACAGTGTTAAATATTACTGATACTCTATTGTATCTATGTACGTCTGGTAAACAGCAGTGTATCATAGTAGAATTTATTAAAGTGCTAGTTAAAAACCTGTTTCTCACTTGTCAAAACGCTTTATAATCAAGAGGCTGAAGTTCTTGGGATGCACCAGTACCATTTCTTTTCCAGGCCAGTCACAAATACTTACATTTGGTTACTTGCTGATACCGAGCACCAGTTTGAGTACGTAATAATACCACTACAGTTTTATTTTCAGCCGACGTTCCTCACTTTCTGACCGTAACAAATTCAATGCTGCTGATGTCTTTGTAAAGGTGCTTAAAATACTGTCTCCACACTGCTTCTCCTCCGTCCAACTAACATGAGGTTACGTAACAGAACGCCATGCGCCCGTAAAAAGTGTTATCGGAGTAGTTTTATGATTGAGTATAGTATCGGTGCATCCCTATAAAATATATACATTTTATAGTCGGTGGCTTTTTATTTCATACACTGAACCTGCCTGTCTTTTCAGTTCTACGTGATAGAGTACGCCGCCTGCGACGCCACTTACAATGAGATTGTGACCTTCGAGCGTCTGCGTCCAGTCAACCCTAACAAGGCCATCACCAAGAACTCCTTTCACAAGTGCACTGTCCCTGTTCCTCAAGATCTACAAGAAGCGTATGTACAGCAACTTTAAACTAACAACATTCAGAAGGGACAAAGCTTAAAGGGATAATTCAGATTCATTGACATGGGGTTGTATGACGAACCAGCAGCACATTCCTTAGCTTCTGTGCCAGTACTCATGTCTGCTTCTCCAAACTGGGGTAATACACTGACTACGGATAAATACCTCATACAACCCCACTTTACAAAACTTGAACTTGTTCTGTTCACAGATAATAATAACATGCATATATGTAGTAGATTGTTTTTTGTAGGTGTAACATATTGTCTGTATTGTCTTGCAAGATTTCTTTAATTCCAATCTCCTGTTATGTCAGGTAGGAGTGAATTTGGAGGAGTTTGGAAGTTGAAATGGATATTTATTTCTCATATTACAGGTGCCAGAATGAGAATGCCCATAAGGACTTTAAGAAAGCTGTGGGAGCTTATCGCATCTCATATTGCCCCGAGACCAGCCAACTAGTGATTGTGGTAACTGCCTTATTGTAACTCTGTGGTGACATTTGATTATTGATGATAACACCTACACTACCACATGATATGTTGCAACTTTGTCCTGCTCAGTATGTTTGTATTGTGAATGACTCAGCTGTTTTCTAGTCGTCATTGACAAGGGAGCAGCTTGACTCATTCTTTCTTTTTATTTCCTGTGTGTGTGTGTGTGTGTGTGTGTGTGTGTGTGTGCAGTCCATGAACGAGACGACAGTGAAGCGTGTGTCTTTGCTAAGTGACATGCACCTGCGCAGCATCAGGACCAAGCTGCTGTTAATGTCACGCAACCACGAGGCCACAAAACACCTGGAGGTCAGTTGGAAACAAGACCAGCATGCTTTAGTCACTGTGGTGACCTGGAGGTTTCACAGGCAATCTACTGAATGAAGCTGTATAAGAATATTCTCATGGGCTAGTTGTGATGGTTTTACCGAAATACCACTAATACTCTAATGGGAGGTAAATAGAAAAGAAACCATAAGCGATTTACTTTTCCTCTCACCACTTTTTTTAAGATTAGTAACATTTTTAACACTTATTTAGAGCAAATTTTGATAACTTTTAACATCTTGTAGTTTTGGCTTTATAAAAATGAGGTTTGTCGGATTTGAGAATTGATTAAAACCAAAACTTTTTGAAATATTCACTGATAACTCTTTGAACTTTGCTCTTGTGTTTGCGTAGAGCTCTAGGCAGCTGGTGTCATCCTTCCAGGAGGAGTTTATGGTGAGACCGGATCTGATGGGCCTGGCCATTGGCAGCCATGGCAGCAACATCCAGCAAGCGCGGAAAGTTGCAGGTGTCACTGCCATTGAGCTGGATGAGGAGACTGGCACTTTCAGGATTTATGGAGAGGTAGGGTGTTGTGTGGAGGCATGATTGTTTCAATAATGGAAGGGAAAAGAACAAATGAACACAATTCTGTAAAAAAAAGGTTTCGGAGAATCATTGTGGACTTTATACTGAAACAAGAAGGGGTGTAGTTTGTGTTTGTGTCTGAGGATTTAACCATTATTTGTTATGATTGTTATGAAGTCCGGGAGCTGACTGTGTGTGTTAGTTAAGGGTGTAACGCTACTCAGAAGTCATGGTTTGGTTCACACTCTTGTCACAGTTCAGTGAATTTTTTGAGAATAAAGATTGTACATTTTTATACATATATTTATAACAGATCAATTAACCCTGTGTTGTCTTTTCAGTCAGCAGAGGCAGTGAAGAAGGCCAGGAACTACCTGGAGTTTCTGGAGGACTCTGTCCAGGTGCCCAGGAACCTTGTTGGTATGTAGATACACACATTTACTGCCTGAGCTTTGAATCCCCAAAACCTCTGTTTTAGGGGCAGTCACATCATCTTTTTGGCTTGCAGCTGTGTTTCTTTGTTACTAGTTGCATTCTTATCTTCTCCTGCTTTCTGTCCCTAGGCAAAGTGATCGGTAAGAACGGTAAGGTCATCCAGGAGATTGTGGACAAGTCTGGTGTGGTGAGGGTCAGGATAGAAGGAGACAATGACACCAAGCAACCCCGACAGGAAGTAAGCCTGCTACTGCCACATTTTTAATGCTACTGATAATGCTGCTTGTAGAGTACTGATAAGTGTACCAAGTTTTGGTTGCTCTACAAATGATGTACACACTTTCTTTCCACTTGGTCCAGTCAGTCCCATACTAACATGTGTGTTGTGTTTTTGTGTTTTGTTGACACAGGGAATGGTCCCATTCACCTTTGTCGGTACTAAGGAGAGTATTGGCAATGTCCAGGTCCTGCTGGAATACCACATCTCTTACCTCAATGTAAGGATGCCGATGTATACGGGTGTGTGTGAATGCCGAATTAGGAAAAAAGGTTTGCTTGTGTATGTTTTTGCCAATTCTTTGCCTTCACTCAGTGCCACAGCTTCAGGTTACAGCCTCCTTCAGGCAGCCTCCTAATGCATCTCCTGGCCAACGAGTATTTCATTCAGTTGGCAATATGAAGTGCATGTATAGCAGCATGTCTATGGTGCTTTAAGCTTTGCTTAAGTCTAAACAGTAACACTGCTTTGTCTCTGTGCTGTGCATGTACTCAAATAAAGTGATATGGGATTGGTACTGGAGCCAATCAAGGCATTTTTCAACTGATCTATCAGATCCAAGCCTTTGTTTTACGTCAGCTGTCACACAGGTGTTTGTACTCATAAAGCCTTCATGCACAGCAGCTGTCGTCAGCTCTCCGCTGTCTGTCTTTCCTCCACTCCACTGAGCTTAGAGCAATACCGTGGGAGGGAGGGGCAGCCCCTACTCGGAGGAAAGACAGACAGACAGCGGTGGAGAGACAACAGACACACGGACCATGCCACTGTAAATGCAACAAATGCCAACAAGAGCAATTTATTAATGTAATCAGCAGAAAAGATACAGAACTAAACACTATACAGAGAAATAAACACTCAGTGGAATACAGTTTATACAGGTAACTTGTGCAAAGGCTGCACCGATACAGCAAACACTGGGTGACATGTTTTGACTCTGAAGAAGACACATTAGTGTTGAAACATTTTTTGCACAATTAAAGGTGTGAATTGATTGCTGGAGCACACTTTTAAAAGCAGAGGGAAATTCTCTCGAGATAGTGACATGGTTTTTTATTTTGTTAAAAATAAATAAACATTAGAGAAGAGCTAGAATGCATTTTTTATTCTTAATGCAAGCTATTCAATTGTCAAACATATACACTGGATTGATTTGAATAACTTTAATGTACTTGAAGTGTGAACGATGCACCTGTATTATCTAGGAAAATAGAAGTATTGGATTGGGGGCAAAAAAACTGAACTGGTACATCCCTAGTAACAGCATAAATCACAGTTAGATGGAAATGTGTGAGGAAAAGAACCTACCACACAAGCAGAGGAGTGCATAGCTGAACATATAGTTCATACCAGCTCTACTAAACAGTTTCCTGGTGGGAATATCTGTCACTTTTATATTCTCAGTATACACTGTTAATTGTGAATGCCAACAAATTTCTTAAACTTATGATCATCTTCAGCGATAATTACCTTGTCTCTCTGTGTTGTGTATTTCACTGTTTCTACATTTTGGACTGTGCATGTATGTATGTATGTATGTGTGTGTCCTGTGCTGTTTGCATGTTCTGTGTTGTGTTGGTGCTTTGCGTGTGTTTGTTTTGCACTGTGTGTGTGTGTGTG